ATAGCCAGATTTGGAGAAATACCACTTATAGCAAGCTTTTAAAGTTGTTGTAGGACAAATATAACCATTTCGTTACTTTGGCAGTTGTATTAACACCGTCAACTTATTTGACGGTTCGTTGACTAGGCGCCAACTCAACGGACACGTCAACACCAAATAAGCAAATAATGACACGTCAGATATTTCAATAATTTAATATTTACACATCATAAATTAAAAAATAAAATAAAATTTATTTACCCCATCTGCTTTCCACGTAACAACGAAGATTAGTTGTGAAAAATGAAACCCTTTTGTGTTTCTCATTCATACTTGGGTTTAATTAATCTAGCTTGACACTAAAAGATAAATCGTACCAGCATGCTTTTGGAGAACATTTAACTTAAAACAAAAACAACAACTTAAACTAAAGTCTAAACATTGACAATAAACTAAAATTGATGATGATGATAACTTCCTCTAAACCTTGTCGATCCACTTTGACATTCATGGTCGCCGGTTTGGACGATCTTTCAATATCTCTTGTTCCCCCCCCCCCCCCCCCCTCCCCCGAGCGGGTGAGCACAGAACTTGAAGAGAATACAGTTCTGCCTTGAGAATGTTGTCGCATTGTTGACTAACTAACTTCCCTTCAAACTTCAAATGGCTATAAGTGGTATTTTCTCCAAATCTAACTATTATTGGCACAAACGCGAAAGTTTTGCCTATAAAAGTGTATTTTACTGAAAAAGAATAAGCAATGTATGAAACACTTGAAGGGAATCGAGCTAAGAAGATCGACTTGTGGTTAGTGACTTTGTACTTTTCAATAAATATTTCATTTAAAGAGGGCGGAGACTGACGCCATATTTGGTTTTCTGATTTTTTTCATTTATATTATTTTTAATTTTTATAAAAAAATAATATTTTATTCCTTCTTAACGGATAACGGACAAAAATTTAAACTGATGCACAATTCATTGACATTAGTGTTACGCAACACCCTATTCTAACTTAAGTAGTATAGCTATCCCAATTTCCATACTTTAATTGTATCCGATGTAAATTATTTATAGAGAAACTCAAGGTATTTATTGTACAAGTGAATTAATATGCATACCTTACCAAATCCCACATTTCAGTTTGGTAATAGTTATACAATCCTGGCCCAAACTATACATCAAAATAACTAAATTGGTCAGACCCGACATTTGACAGTTAACTTGGACGGTCAAACGCGTTGACTAACGGTCAACGCGCCATGTCACTGCCAACTCAGCAAATTTCAATTAAAATTTTTTTAATTTCCACCTATTATCATTTTCCTTTCCTTTTTCATTTTGAACAAAAAAAAACTTTTCGATTTGGGGACCAAATGCTTAACCTACCTTATCCATATCGGGTAGCCCATCCACAGAAATCATCGCCACCTCTCACCTTCTCCTTCCTTCATCGTTGAAGCCAATTCCTCCCTCGACCGACTAAAATGCAGAGGCGAGCGTTCTTCTAAGCTTATCGCCGCCGCCGCCATCGATTACCACCCTTCTCCCTTCTACCCTCTCGCGAAGAGTTTCCGCCTCCTCGCGATTTCTGCTTCTCTCTCTGGATCGAAACGACTTGGTGAAAAGGGACGACGACGGGTCCACATTCTAAAGTGACCACAGCCACCAGATCGTGTTTCCCACCAGCAATGTAAGAAATCCCTTTCTTCTGTCCATTTCGTTTCTTTTTTTAATCCTCGATACATACAAGGATTAGTGTTTTCAAGTAAAGTAATGCTCGTGACCAGCATTTATCGGGTTCAGAGCTGAAAATTGAGATTAAAGTAATGCTTTCACTTTGTCTTTGTCGGGTTAAGTGATGTTCAGAATGATTAATCAAATGCGTATCAAATTTTTTTTTTGTCTTTGCTAGAATGGACGACATTGTTGAGCTTATTCTGTATCATGGAGGCGCAATGGATATGTCGGGGGATGTTCCACAGTAAGTTGGGGGGGGGGGGGGGGTTGTCGATGTCGTCAATGTGAATCATGATGTCTTGTCCTACTTCGAATTGACGAATACTTTGATTGAAGATTTGGAGTATATTTCCGTCGAAAGGTTATGGTACTTGACACTTGGGGAAAGGATGGCGACTGGATTGCATAAAATTGTTTCGGATGTGGAGGTTGTAACTGGATTGTTGCCTTTGGGCTGAACTGGAGATATAAGGGTGTACTTTGAGGCAGCAAGGGATCTCGGAGAGCTGGGTCATATGGGAGACAATTATGGCCATTTTCCTGAAGGGGAAGATGCATCTGGAGACAATTCAGCTACACCTGACTTTGTTCGGCTAGACGAAGATGATGCTCAGACATCAGACGAGGAATACCATGAGATTGGAGCTGATGCTATGAGAAGGAGTAGAAGATTTAGAGCAGATCTTGATGGTGAAGGAAGTTCAGTGAATCAATTGTTTACATGGGATGCCAACCATCACGCTGACGTGGCTTCGGATAGTGCTATTGAGGGTGGATCGTAAGCTGAGACTGTGGAGCTTGAAGAGAGTTTGGTGATTGAGGAGAGTATTGTTAGGAGTGAAGAACAAGTGAACGTGGATTAGGAGATCAATGCTGAAGGATCAGTTGATAAGGAGTATAGGGCCTCTGAAGATTCTGCTAATGTTAGAGGGAACATTGCTGAAGATGAAGGTGCTATAAGTTTCGACAAGATCTTGTGTTATGATCCCAAGTATGATCATAGCACATTGAAGTTCAAAACACATATGCGGTTTATATCTCTTTCTCAGTTTAAAGCTATTGTTATGAAGAGTGCAATTCAGATTGAGCGGATATTAGATGGATTAGGAGCAGTGACCCGAGGAAGGAAGTTGTGTGTGCACAAAGGGAGGAGTATGGTTGCAAATGGAAGATTTATAGTGCTTGGTTTCGTGGAAAAGAAGCATTCATGGTTAAAGCTTCTGGAGCACACCATAGTTTCCTCGAGCGATTCGGATTCGTGCGGCGGTTTATTAGTGGATTGCATATGAGTACATCGAGGTTTTCCGGGTTAATCAAGTATGGAATGTCAACTTAATAGCAGCTGAATTGTGTCCAGTCACACTTGTTATAAGGCATGTTTGGAGGTTCGACGACTGCTTTATGGGTCACTTACTGAGGATTTTCACAAACTCAGAGGCTATATTGGTCATTTGCTACGAGTTGACCGTAGAAGGTCATTCCTGATTGAGGTTGACATTGTACCAAACTCAGATAAGGTCTATTTCAAGCGGTTATTTATTGGTTTCTCTAGCTTGGCTAGGGGTTTCTTGGAAGGGTGCATGCCTTTCTTTTGTTTGGATGGCTGCTTCTTGAAAGGGGAAGTTCTAGGTATGTTACTGTCAGCTGTTGGAAAGGACGGTAACAACCATATGTTCCCAATCGCGTGGGCAATCGTTGAATCGGAGAACAAAAGTTCCTGGACATGGTTCACTAAAGCATTGCAAGAGCTACTTCAGATCGAAGATGGTGGCGGTTGGACTGTAGTCTCTGACCAACAAAAGTTACGCATTCCTACTTGGTTAATAAACCATTAAAGCATTGAATTTTGCAAGCTGACTTTCTGTGTACACTTGTGTAATTTGCAGGGGCTAGTAGAAGCGCTAAATGATTGCATGCCTTCTGCTGAACATCGAAAGTGTGCTCGACATGTCCACGCACACTTCACATAAAAACACAAGTCAGCTATAGCTTCTGATCTCTACTTGGAGGCGGTGTATGCATTAAATGAACCTGATTGGAGGGCTGTTGTTGATAAATTGAAGGAACTTGGAGAGGGTGCTGATACAGACTTCATGGCCATGGAATCGGAAAGGTTTTGTAGATTGTTCATGCAGACATACTCCAAAAGTGATTCCGTAGAGAGCAACATTTGTGAGTCTTTCAACAACTGGATCTTGCGGTTTAGGACATTGAGACCGATTGCAATGTTGGAGGGTATTCGAGTGGTTGTCATGACACGAATTATCATGAATCGAAGAATGATGGATCGTTGGAGGGATAAATTTCCACCAGTAGTTAGGGGAAAACTAGAGAAGGCAAAGCAATTGGCACGAATGTGCACCAGCCCCCCTTCTACAGAAGCTAAGCATGAGGTAACCATAGGAGACAAGGGTTTTGTAGTAACTTGAAGAAGGGTAGATGTACCTGCGGATTCTGGTTGCTAAATGGAATACCATGTTGCGATGCCTTTGCTGTCATAACCTACTTGAGAGGGAAACCAGAGGATTTTGTGCATGACTTCTTCTTGATGAATCGAGTACAACGTGCATACATGCACCATATCCCACCATCAGAGGGTCGACAAGCATGGCTTCCAGTGGAAGGACACAAGGTGTACCCACCACAAATTTGTCGAATGCCTGGACATCCAAAAACTAAAAGGAAGAGGGAGTCGTGGGAGGTAACTAGGAAACCTTCAAAAGATGGACATGGGGAAGTTGTTACTTGACACGACCTAGTGATCCACTGCACCAACTGTGGAAAAGATGGTCACAACAAAAGGACCTGCAAGAATGCAAGAAAGCCAACAGAATCTGCATCACATACGAACAAGTCCACAACAATTACAACAACGACTACGAATAGCACACAAAAACAGCATAAATTCATCCTATTTTGAAGGCCATAAATTGTATGTCTCATCTTTCGTAGTTCGAGACAAATTGCAGAATTGAGTTCGGCAAGCTTGGGAAAGTCTTCTAAAATCGCAGCCTTTTCTTCCTTCTGTTTCCTGGCCTTCTCTTCTGCTTTACGAACACGGCCTTCTAGAGCTTCCATATCACCAAGATTCAACTTCAGTTCATGATTCTCTTCCATCAATCCATCAACCATCGTGTCACTCTCAGGCTCATCATCAACCCATCGGAAAAAATGGCAACTCTTTTTGTGATCCTACAGAAAAGGAAGAGGTGAATCGTGGTTGTGTTGGTCGAAAACAAAGATTTAAAAAGGATTTCAACCTACCTTCCAATATGGATAAGAGTAGAACATTCTTCGAGGATTCAAGCTAGTGCGAGATGTATTCATCACACAAGGGGCTTTGTTCACTTTACATCGAATCGTGCCTGAGTTGATCGAATGGGAAGAAGTGGAACCTTCATCGGCGTTTTTCCCGGATCTCCTTGACATGTCTCTTTCTGCAAATTAGGTGGGTGCTCAAACCTTCGATGGCAGCGGCGGAGGTGCTGGGCTTTTCTGTCGTTCTCTACGATTTTGTTGGCGGTCGGAGCGATGGGGGAAGAGAGGAGAGGAGACGAAGTAGCGCGATGAATGAGGTTTGGGCAGGGGGTATGTTGAGAGATATACCCGAAATCGCAAAGTTTTTTTTCTGTTCAAAATGAAAAAAGGAAAGGAAAATGATAATAGGTGGAAATTAATAAAAATTGTCTTTGTATTTGTTTACACCACTTTACTGTGATCATATGTTTCTTTTTTCTTTTGTGGGAATGATTAATTAAAAGGCTTAGTACTAGTACACGTAATTGTTGTAAATATGACATTGCTAATTGCTATGCCCTAGTAGGAGGCTAGGTATAATTGTCCATTATTATGTGTTAGTTTACATCAATTAGTGATGAATTATACGGTTTTGTACAATTCTCTCTCACCTAAAAAAAATGCTGAGAGTTGCTCTCGCCTCTCTCCTCTGCCTTTGCCGTCTGCTCGGCAGGTTGCTCTTCGTAGCTGTGCAAGAATTCCTGACTGCGAGCATACAGAATCAAGCTCAGGGATGGTTCAAGAAGGGAACACCTTCAGATCAGGCAATAAAGCCGTCGTTTTATCCCAGTCGAGATGAACCTGGGAATGGAATTGACAGTTCTGGTTGGCGCGACAAGCAATACTCTCAGAGCAGGAGTTTGAAACGCAAGCCTGGGATTTATATGGCGGAGTGTGATATAAACCACTCCTGTAAGAAGAAGAACCGCAACACATTGCGCAAAATGATGTGGAGATTTAAACTCCCATCATCGGACGAGCTGGAATGCACGGACATGGTCTGCATCCCCTCGTACCAATCAACTCGTGATCCTCCCAAGGAAAGTCCGATGGGGGTTCCGATGGACAATCCCCCCCTCCACCGACTGCTTGTGCCCTAACGCTTCGGAGAACAGAGAGACGGCCATGGCGGCGCTGGAGTCCCATCGACATAAGTGGCTGATTCCCGACAGTAGTCCGGACCGACGCGAACAATCGCGGCGGCGGAACGAGCCCCGGCAAAAATCATTTATGGTTGCGCAGTATTGTCCTGGAATTCATGGGGACTGGGATTACGGATTTCGCGGTGTGCAAGGGAGGGATTTCGCCCCGTAGAATCCGCCGCTGCAACAACAACTTGGATTTTATTTTTTATTTTTAATAAGATAAATACTTTGAATCTACTGGCTAGGGATGGAGATACGGAGTCGATTCTCCCTTATCATCATCCTCAAATCCGTGTTATGAAAGAAATCGTGGTGGGAGGAGATTTAGCTAGGCACAAACTCTCGCTCCATCCTTTCTATTTAAACACCTCGGCCCTCCGGAGCGCTACACATTGGCAGCCAAGCAAGCGGCTTACGGTGGGAAATAGTGGCGTGAGGTCTGGAGAAAAATTAATCGGCCCAGGCTTATCTCTTCCCCCAGGTACTACCTACCCCCTATCTGCGTCTACTTTTGAGATTTTTTGCTTCCATGATAAGGAAGAAAGGGACCAGCACCCCTCTACTAAACTGTGTAACTCGCTCGAACTAACGGGGCGATCTAGGCAGGTTTCATTTAATTTTATTGCACCTTATTTCTCAATGCAGAGCAGCATGGCGACGCACGTGAGTGAGGATCAAGTTGTGCAATTCTCCCTGCATGAAGTTCAATCTGTGCAAGTTCGACGCTCCCATACCCTCCTTGGCTGCATCTTCATGACGGCAAAGCTCTCGCCTGCTGAAATTCGAGATTGGGTGAACTCCCCATGGCAATGCAAAGGGAGGATCAAAGTGCTGCAAGCCAAGCATGGCTTATTTGAATTCGTCCTCCCTAACGAGGAGTCCAAAATATGGGTCTTGAAAAGAACTCCTTGGTTGGTGAATGATAAGATCATCCATCTTAGATCTTGGACACCATCGGTAACGAAGCAGACGTATGAGGAGCTTGTGATGGCCCCATTCCGGGTGCAACTCTGGGATGTGAAGGATGACTGCTACACCGCCAAATTTGGTATGAAGGTGGCTGGACCCACAATCGGCCAAGTGTTGGAAGCAGGAGTGTATTCATGTCTTGACACCGGGAGATTTTCATCAAGGTGAAGGCACCAATCGATTTCTCTCGACCCCTGCGATCGCAATTGATGGCTGCTAGCGAGGAAATGGGGGGGGGGGCTTTTGGGTTATATTGAAGTATGAACAACTCCTATCTTTTTGCTTTCATTGTGGGAGGGTGGACATTTCCAGAGAGAATATGCATTTGATCCCGAACTCGTAAGGAGCGGTTTGGTCCGCATATGATGACAAAGAAGTTGGGGACAAGGGTCTATAATGAGGATGATATCACTATCCCATTCCAGGGAAAGGCTAAATCTGTTTGGGTGAACAATGCCATTAAAGACCCTCGTCACTATCCCAAATCGGCCCGAATGACTGAGGAGCCGAGGCCGGAGGCGATTGAGGTGAACGATGCGGATCCACATAACCTTGCTATTGGGCAGGAAATGGAGGAGCGGGCTAATCCCAACCCCAGGGCGAGTGAGAATGTGGAACTGCCTCGTCGTAACCCTAGGGGATTTCCCATCCCATGTTCCCCAAAATTGCAACTCGACATGAACATGCAGTGGAGAGTCAAAGGGAAAGAGATGCAGGGTGCTGGCCATGCTCCCCGTGATTCCAAAAGCTCTCGTAAACCTGGAGTGATGGGACGGACAGGAGACTGCCATGAGGAGGGAAAACGGAAACCATAGGGGCGTGCCATTCGAGGGATGGCTCCGCCTAACTCCGCCACGCCTGCGACCGATCACAGCCTCCCTGTAGAGGTGGAAACCCGGCAAAGGAGACTGTTGTTGGAAGAGGAATCGGAGGATGAGGTCTCGCCTATGTTTGCTTCACTCCATGGCGGGGGGCGGGCTGGGGAGTTGGCTGCTCTCGATGTGCCGCGGCCGAGCAAGACTTCCACTGCGAAGCCCGTACATGCAAGCCCACTTCAGCTGGTCAAGAATGAGGGCGGCAAGATGGCGAGGGAACCTGCTGTCACCGCTACCAGGAAAGGAAAACTGAGAAAGAATAGCTCCCTCAATTTCCCTCGCATGCACTCAAAGGCGGTGAATTTTGAGGAAGGAGCATGGGTGAATGTCCCTGTTCGGGAAGGAATGGTGAAGGCTCCGTCTCTAATTAATAGCCTTGAGTCGTCCCTAGAAAAGAATGTGAGGATTGAGTTAATTGAGACTAGTTGTGAAGGCGATGGGGATCGCTTTGAGTTGCGAAGTCGGAGGCAGGGTCCGGATGGATCGAGCACTGGTCATGTGCAACAAGTGGTTCGTGCTTTTGAGGCGGGGATGAGTTTTCATACTGATCCCTCCTCCCCCAGGGTGCAAGCCGCGCCTAATCCGATTATTTGCGGGCTTGGGGTTGAGACGTCCTCTGCGTTGACAGGGGAGCTTGGGGATCTGAACGAGTATGGATCCAATGATGCTGCCTTGCTGAGCAAAGACAGGAAAAGAGCTTTTCAGGCGGCCGATGGGGACGAATGTGAACCCCCTACACCCAAGAAATAGTTTGTGGAAGAAAAAGATGCTGCTGAGATGGTGGAGGAAACAAGCCTAAAATGGTCCCAATAAGGTAAATGAGGCTTCTGGCCTAGAATGTGAGAGGAATTGGGTCATCCCTCACATTTCAAACTGCTTTGAGTTTAGTACATTCGAATAAACCGGATCTTGTTTTCTTTTCTGAAACACGAGCTCGCCGGAAATTAGTTTCCCGTCGGTTGCAGGGCCTAGGTTTTGAGTCTTCGAACATTTTTTTGTGGATGCTATTGAAGCATCTGGTGGTCTTGTTGTCGCTTGGTCCCCCGAAGTTGACGCTTCGGTGTTTTATCATTCGGATTTTAATATTGGAATTCGTATTAATGAATCGGATTTTTCTTATGTTGCCTTTTGTGTTTACATTAGTTGTAACCTGTCTACCAGAGCCACTCAATTGGCTCTTCTTCGTGACATTTGTGTCGAGATTCAACTCCCATATGTGGTGATGGGGGATTTCAATACCACCCTACATGCTCATGAGAAAGATGGGGGAAATGCTTGGAATAGTGCCCAATCGATTAGTCTCCGTGACTTTATCATTGATCTTGAGTTGCATGACCGTGTCTATCAAGGGGATACTTTCACTTGGACTAACAAACGGTTAAGTAATGCTTGCATTCGTGAATGCCTGGATCGGGCCCTCTGCTCTCAATCGTGGGTGGATCAATTCCCCGAGACTCTTGTTAAACATTTTACGGACCTTGGTTCGGACCATCGGGCTTTACTTCTTGCGGATCGGCCATATGTTCGACATAGTCACCCATTATTTCGATTTGATGCTCGATGGGCAAATAACCCTGAAGTGAAGGCGATTGTCAACTATGTGTGGCAAGAGTCAATTTTAGGCACCTCGATGTTCCAACTCTGGGAAAAGCTCAAAAAATTGCGACACCTTCTTTATGATTGGAGTATGGATGGTACTACCAATTCACTTCGTAATATTAAGACCCTCCAGGGAGAAATTGAGCACGTCAAGTCCAATCATCCGATAAACTGGGAGACGGTGAAAGAGCTTGAGGTAGAACTTAATAGACAATGGGAGGCGGAAGAGCTATATTGGCAACAAAAGTCTAGGATTCATTGGCTCAAAAAGGGTGATAAGAACACCTCTTACTTCCATACAGTCACTCGTACTAGGAGAAAGAGGAATTTTGTGGCTGGCCTGCATGCTGAGAACGGTGATTGGGTTACTGATGAAAAGGGAAAGGCGGACATTGCCTGTCATTTTTATCAACACTTGTTCACTTCGGAAAGTCAAGTGACAAACATGTTTGATAGGGTGGAGGGCCTTCCAATTGCCCAGAGTGTAACCCTGGAAATGAATGATAAGTTAACAACAGAGGTCATGCCCCAAGAGGTTCGCAAGACAGTTTTCTCCATGGGTTCCAAACAGGCTCATGGCTTTGAAGGACAAAATGCGTTTATCCGTGAAAGGTAGATTATTGAGAATATCCTTGTGGGGCACAAGTTGATGCACTACTTAAAGATAAAGACACGCGGCAAGAAAGGGTACATGGCTCTAAAGGTTGACATGGAAAAGGCCTATGATAGAATCGAATGGTCGCTTCTGCTAGATGTCTTGGAGAAGATGGGATTTAACTCTGTGTGGAGAGGATGGATTCAGGAATGCCTTCGGTCAACTTCATTCTCGGTCCTCATCAATGGTACCCTTTCTGGATATTTCACACCTTCCCGAGGACTTAGACAAGGAGCCCCCTTTACCCTTTATTATTTGTGCTTTGCACGGAAGGGTTTGCTGCTCTTCTTCGCAAGGCAATAGCGGATAAGCGATTGGGAGGTGTGAAAGTTGCTCCTCGAGCTCCTCGTATCTCATACCTGTTCTTTGGTGATGATTCTTACTTGTTTTTACGAGGGAATCTCCAGGAATGTGAGAATCTGATTGAAGTTTTGAACGAATATTAGGAATTGAGCGGGCAGCGGGTGAACTTGGACAAATCTGTTGTCTGTTTTAGCAAAAACATAGCTCAGAAGATCAGGAGTTTTTGGCAGCAATTCTGGGGGTGGGAGCGGTGGGGGTCCAAGACAAGTACCTGGGTCTGCCGACTCTGATTGCCCGGTCAAAAATGGCTACCTCCCGAATTCACTGGCTGTCATGGCGTAATATGTGTCGAAGTAAACATGAGGGGGAATGGGTTTCCGTCGTTTTGAACATTTTAATCAGGCTTTGCTGGCTAAAATTGGATGGAGGATCCTCAAGGAGCCCCGGTCCCTGTTGGCTCAAGTATACAAAGGGAAGTATTTCCCAAACGAGACTTTCCTTTAGGCTCAAGCATGCTCGCGTCCTTCCTGGGGGTGGCAAGGTGTTATGTTTGGAAGGCAACTGCTTGAAAAGGGCTTGCGCTGGCAAATTGGTGATGGTCAATCGACATCACTGCTTTTCTCGAATTGGATCCCTCGCTTGCATCCTGACGTACTGGTGTTTAATCCTCAGGTGATCCCAGAGGGAGGTGATCCACGAGTGGAGTATGTGATTGACCAGAATGGGGGAGGCTGGTGTATTAGTAAATTGAGCCAATGGTTTGACCCATCTACCTGCCGTATGATTCAATCTATTCATTTGCCGAGGCAGTCTATGGAGGACAAACTTATTTGGCATGGTACGACGGATGGCATGTTCACTGTTAAATCAGCCTACCATCTAGCTGTTGATCTAGATAAGAGACAGGGCTGCTGGAGGTCAATGGTCAGTTGGATGGATAGAGCTAGTTGGATTTGGCTTTGGGATGCTAATATTCATCCCAAGCTGAAAGTGTTTCTTTGGCAGATCTTCCACCGTATCCTCCCCACGACCGAGGGTTTAATTGAAAAACATGTGCCTGTTCATCCTCGATGTCTGGTTTGCTGGGGAGGAGCAGAAACAATGGAGCATCTGTTTCTAGACTGTCCAGTGGCTCGGCCTTATGGGACTATGCGGGATTGGAACATCTTGGACAAGGATTGCCGCGTCACACATTCCCCTTATTTCTCAAACGGTTGCTCTCTCTCATTCATCAACCTTCTGTGATCTTATCGGTGGTGGCTATCCTTTGGCAGATTTGGAAATCTAGGAATTGGGTTGTCTTTGAAGGCAAGCAATTTGGGTTTCCGGCATTGATGTGCCAATACCATCAGCAATGTGAGGAATGGGAGCTGTTTCCCGCAGAAAGTGTGAATTTGGGTCTACGTCCTACTTCTCACTCAGTTGGGCTTCCTGCGGGTCCCTTTGTGGTGTGTATGTGGGATGGGGCTATGAGAGCTGGGTCGCATTCCCCGGGCGGGATAGTTCTTCTTGGACCGCATAAGGACGTCATTCTAGCTAGAGGAATCCAATTTCGGTCTGTTGATGATCCTCTGGTGGTGGAAACTCTTGTCCTAAGGGAAGCTATCTCTTGGTGTATGGGCAATGGATTCCTCGATGTGCGATTTGAAGGCGATGCCAATGTCATTATCGACAAGCTTAATCAAGGAGATACCAGAGATAGCAGGGTTGGGGTGATTTTAGCTGATATTAGACAATTTATTGTAAATCACTCTGGGTTTAGCTTACGATTCGTAGGACGGAATAACAATAGAGTAGCCCATGTGGTGGCTAGAAAGGCCCTTTCTTTGTATCCGTCTAATTGTCGCTCTTTCAATTTTCAGGCCTGACTGTGTTCCAGGATGTAACTGCCTTTGTTCAATCAATATATGATTATCTTTTGTCAAAAAAAAAAAAAAGTTAACATCAATTAGTGGTGTGCACATCATATTTGGTCAGTTACATTTGTACTATATATAAGACGTGCACCACAATCACTTCAATACAAAGCACTACATATAGAAACCACTTATAGTAATTAATATTGAAGGTGTGTAGAGGACATAATATAAAACTAACAATGACCAGTAGAAGGAAAACAGAAGCACAGACAAGAACCAGGAGAAGGAAAACAACCTTCATTCTTCTTTGCCCTTTTTTCCTCTACTCCAACAAGAAAGTGATATCTATAATCTGTGTGCGTCGCCCATGCGCTAGTGGGTGATTCTTTCCGTCGAGCTATTGCACTATTTATAATGTATTAAGGGCGCCCTGAAGGAATTAATTACTTCTTTTATGTATTAGGGATAGCCATATCATTAATTACTTCTTTTAATATATCTTTCGACTACTGATCAAGCTATTAATTGGAAGAAAAGCTCGAGACAGCGAGCCAGACAGGACCCCTAACAACAATAAACTCATTCATTCATTTGTATATTAGGAGTAGCCATTAACATAATCTTTCTATATTGTTCACCCATTTGTACTATATAGGGAACGGCTACGGTGCTAATTGTACAATAGTTAGCACCGTCCTAATCAAGGGAAAAACTACTATTAGTTTGAATTAGTAGTGATTTAGTTTAGATGTTGTATTGATTTTATAATAATCCATAGTGATTTTTGTTAGTTATCACGGTGCTAACCCCTATAAGGATTAGCACCTAATCCCATCCCTACTATATATTATGGCAATTCAAAAGCAATGTCTTGTCACATAAGTACTTGGAGGATCCACAATTTGCCATGTTGGACAATTTTTTTACAAACAAATAAATTAGTTATTAATGTATTTATGGAGCTACCTCTCTCTTCTTTAATACTTCTACTCATGTTTACTAAAAATTAAAAAGTTACATACTTACATTTTGATGAAAATGTAAAGAAACACACATATAAGCAATAATATTTTTGTTAATTAAAAAATATAATATGAAAACAGTGAGTAACATATATCTCTTTTATTCAATTGGAAATATATATTATATCTTATCAAGTAAATTTTCTACTCATATTACCAAAAACTTAATAATAATTTCATTTTGATGAAAAAGTAAAGAAGTACACACATAAATATATGTTTTTGTTTATTAAACAAAATATAGCAATAGAAAGAGAGAAAACAAGCGTTTGACAATCAATCGACTTTGACCGAGCAACATACTTTAAAAAATAACACGTGTGAACGTTAAATAAATCTTTGTTTAGGATATACGAATATACGATAAACATTAGGTTTCATCAACCACTGACCTAGGCATTGAACAAATAAGGGATGAAATTTGTTATTTAATAGTTGAATATCTTGATAACCAAATCTAAATTCGAGGATCGATGCAATAAATAAACATCAGCGTATTAATTGAGATATCTAAACAAAAAACTTTTGTAGTTACAAGAACTTAAATCGAGGTATTGGGTCAAAATAAAGAATTTGTAATGAGGATGAGTTTAGTAGGCCAATTGTAGAAAGCCATTTGGTTATATGGATGTGAGTCTCTAACTTCATACCAAATTTTGGCAATAATAAAACTTTTCATTATCAAAGTCTTAAAATGGAAATGTTTTAGTTTCTAATAGTAAGCAATTTGCAAGGTATTAATTAGGGTCAAAAATTAAAATATATCTTTACATATATGCTTAGATATTAACAAATGATGTGTCTATAATACATCCAAAAATTAAAATGTATGTAAAATGTCATAATGTTTGTACGAATTATTAAATTTTATAAAAAAAATTCATAAATTTTTAAATCATTACCTAATATTACAGAAATTTAAAACTAAATTAGGGCCACATCGACGCATGA